GACCCGGCCCGATGACTACCGGTTCCGGGCGCGGGCCTTCATTTTGGTGAACTGGCCCGGCCGGTTCAGGCCCGGTCCGGGCCGGATTTAATTTTTTTTTTTTGAATTTTTTTTAAGTTTTTGGGTTGAATTGGTTATTTTGGGCCATTTGAGGTGGTTTGGGGTGGTTTGGGGTTGAGGGGGTGGGTAGGGGGTTGATTAGGAAAACCCAAAAAAAAAAAATAGAACCAAAATCGGGCCCGGCCCGAACCGGACCCGGGGTTACCCGGGCCAGTTCCGGGCCTCCCCTACATTGAACCGAGGCCCGGCCGGTTCAAGGCCCGAACCGGGCCCGGGCCCGGAACCGGTCCACCACTAACCAGTTCAGACTAGTTCAGACTAGACCGAAAAATTTCTGTCCAAGTAAAGACATCCTAAATCTTCCTGAGAATCAGCGAAGGAGACAATTCGATCATACTATCTCATCTTTTTTATTATTTTACTTGCAATTTTTCATATGATCCACATTTTCCTTTTACTACAAACTGCCATTATATAATCAAAGTTGTAATTTACAAAACCTTCCAACTTTTTGTAAATAACAAAATTACAGATTATATATGTATATATCACCGTAATAAAAGATAATTAAAAACAAATTGTTATTCTACTCTAGCTATACGTATCCCGTGCATCGCACGGGTACTTCGTCTAGTTGTAGTTATAGAATGAACATGCAAAATTAAAAATTACTTACCAAAAGTAGGATTTGATTTTTTTGGAAGAACCAATATTAGTATTTGATAAAAAACTTATTCATAAAAATGATAAGGGAAAGTTTCCGAAATGAGACTAAAAAAGTTTGAAAATTCTAAAATAGGACTGTCATGTTTTTATTCCCAAAATAGGACTAATTACTATCAAATTTGGAAAATACTGTTATGTTTGAAGTCTGATATTGCCAAAACATGACAGTAATTAGTCCCATTTTGGGAATAAAAACTTGGAAGTCCTATTTTGGAATTTCCAAACTTTTTTAGTCCCATTTTGGGTAATATCTCAAATGATAATGTAAAAGTAAGAGATTGAGATAATATAGTGGGAATGGTGCGCTTACACGAGGATGCGTTTACTGAGAACACGTTGAGTCGTCGATTATTATTATTAAAAAAAAAAATAAAAGAAAACATACGACAGCGTGGAAAGCGACGTTTACTGTTTAAAAGAGGGAGAGGAGAGATTTCTTTGCAAATTACGTTCGCCCGTTATGAAAGCTTCGGCCTACCAGCTGACTTTGATGACTACTTGGGATCGCAAAACTCCAAATCATGCACTCCGGGTCAGGGGGGCTACTTTTTACGTTCCACCATATTTAATTAATGCCCAATTTAATAACTCAACAATAACTCAATCATAATTTCTACTATACGTACTACTCCGTATTATAATATGGACTATCGGTTCAAAATAAATGTTAGCATTATATAACCTTCACCCTAATTGAGATGGGGACTTGAGAGGATGACACTATTATTAGAAAAAATGGCTTTATGTGATTGATTTTGAATTGATATATTAAAAATAAAACAAGAATGATTTGGAATCATATAAATTATATCAAATTTGGTATAAGACAACTTTAGTTGGACGGATTGGAAATGAAAGATGAGGCAATCTTAGCAAGATGAAGGGAGTAATTGAAATGAGTTTCAACCATTTAGAGCCCGTTTGGTAACATGAAAATCGCCTGATTCGACTGATTCAGCTAAAATGTATGAAGTTCTGGCTGAAGTGACTGCATTGGCTGATTCTGCTGATTTAAGAAAAAATTATTTTTAACATATACTCCATATGTTATTAATAAAATAAAGAAAAAATTATATGTAAAAATAGCTAATATGGTCATCTACAGTAACTTCAGTGAATACAACCACAAAAGTAATCTCAACCCACGAGAAAAAAAGTTACGTGTTTGGTGAAAAAAAATGGCTGATAAGCCTGATAAGTCGAAAAATAGTGTTGTTACCAAGCTGCCTCGTAACCTCCTTCTTAGAAATGTTATAGTGATGCCAAATTATAATTGACTCTTTAAATTCTTGTTGGTAATCTTCAGATTTATTATTTCTACCGTTTGCCACAATACTTTTTTATTTTAGTCATGAGCGCGCAATGTTGTTATATTTATTTATTTATTTACTCCGTATCATATAATGAGAGCGTTTTGCTACAATTATGTAATTATGATTAGTTTTCTACGCCGCCTAGTTTTACATTAACGTCATTTTTAGTCTACCAAAACATTACTTTACATGAACGGTCCATATAATTTAGTTATTATTACTAATGGATATTACTATATTAGGCACATGCTAAATAAAATAAATCAAAGATGAAAAGCAACACATATATACAAATAAAAATCAAAACATCCAATGCATAGTACTATTCAAACAATCAAACAGAAAGTAATGCATTTCATGATTGTCACGCGGACTGTGTTATACGGAGTATATCTTGATGATGAACGTAGGGACCGAGGAGGGTTGCCCACTTGCGCAGAACAGATCGAGGTGCAAATATAATAACAATTGTTTAGGATTTTTTTTAGCTAATTACCTCTTCAATAGTTAACTTGATTGTAATTAGAATAAAATAATTTTAAAAGTAAAATGCAGTTCAATAGTTAGTTGCTTTTCATTTATTATATTCCGTAATACTTAATTAAAAATACATTGGAATTGTGTTTTACAAATTTCATTTCTACACAAAAATTTATGAAAAAACACTTTATTGAAATCCCGTCGAATGGGTGAAAGTAAACAACACACATACCCTCTAATAATTTAGGTTTTATGAATGGACCGGCCGGTTTAAACCCGATTTGTAATGTTTGGGACTCCGTATTAGTTGTCTGGAGTATATCTATGTTGTATGTTTTTTTGGAAAAAGTTGGCTTAAATTGATATCACAGCATTAGCATTCAGGAGTTAAACGACAAAAAGGCCACAGAAAATCGTCAGCCCTCGAACAAGACTTAGAGTCAATCACCCTCATAAAACAATATAACTCGTTGATCCTATATTGGCATGAATGAGCCATCGACGCATAAAGCAGACCTCCCATCACCCAATCCTAATGCAAGAGTCTTACAATAATAAAAGTAACCAACAGAAAAATAAGCAGTCTGATCATGAAAAATAAATCGCAAGCAAACAGTAAAATTAAAAAGATGCTCCCAAACCCTAGACTCTCTTCCACTCAATGGCGGTGGTTCAGGAGGGGGACGATTCAGTAGTACTGTAGTTTCTTCCTCATCTTGCCTCTTATTCATCCTCGAATCCAGATTTGTTCCAGTCTCTAACCCCAAACTTCGTCGATGATATTTGGCCACCGGAGACCAAACATTCATCTTCCGTCCCTGCACAATCTTCGGTCGTCGGAGAGCAATCATTCTATTCCCCCCGCTTAATCTTGTCAAAGCCAAGGAAGAAAAATAGCCGCACAATTCATGACGGAAGAAGAAACCCTATACGTCTAAGCCCGCCTGCGGCGGCCGCTCCTCGTTACAAACGATAGCGGAGGGAAAAACTCTAATGGTGGAAATTCACCGAGAGAACTTTGGTTGGCTAATGGCTATCTAGGTTGTATACTTGTATGTATGTATATACGTAGTACGAAGTATTTGGCAATTATCTATGTTAAATATTATTTCTATCACATAATACTCGGACAATTAAACATTTTTCATCAATGAAAATATGCTTTAATTTAGACAAGGATTTTACTTATATTATATTTATGTGAAACATATATGAAATTACTTTGAATAAACAACATTTCCATATAATTTTCATAATCGAAACAATTTCGCATTAAAAAATACAATTGGTTAAACTTAGATATCATTGATCTAGAAAAGTCAATTAGATCAAGTTTTATGGAACAAGAAGATTATGGATTCGGTCAAGTCAAAGCTATCCGACTCATATCCATTCTAATGATGTTTTTAATTTGATTGGTTTCTGTTCCAGACAGGACTAGATTTGACACGACTAGACACAAACATTTTAGCCCAGATTAGACAAAGTTTGACCATTATAAAATATACTCCCTCCGTCCCGAAAACAACTTCCCGGTTGGACTTTCACACACTTTTAGGAAATAAATTTGACTTTACTGTAGAATGCACTGTTTTGCACTGTTTAAACACTGTTTAAACACTGTTTGACACTGTTTGACACTGTTTATCACTTTTTTGATGTAGATAATTTGCCAAATAAGGAAAGTATTGAAGTGTGAAGTTAATTTTGGGACATCCATTTAAGGAAAATGGGAAGTTGTTTTCGGGACGGAGGGAGTACATAGAACAAACATTTACTATACTATACCAAACAAGTTTAGACCGGACAAGACCAGACATAAATTGACCAGAGCACACCAAAAAACTAGAGTCTATATAATCAATAATTTGATTAGTTTAGGTTTAGAATAATGAAATTAAATCGTAAACATGAAGAGTCCGTTTGGTAACATTGAAATTGGCTGAAAAGGCCGATTCTGCTGAATTTTATGATGTTCTGGTTGAAGTGGTTTGTTTGGCTGATTTTGCTGAATTTGAGAAAATATATATTTAAAATACTTTTTATTAATAAAATAAAGAAAAATATATGAAAAATACCTAAAATGATCCTCTACAGTAACTTCAATCAATACAGCTAGAAACGTAACTCCAACTTTACATTTTCTTGTTATTATACAATTTAGTGCGCAAAATCAAAATTTAGGTCGTTTGGTAAAAAAAAATGGTTGATAAGCCGGAAAAACGAGATTACCAAAGAGGCTCCAAAAGTAATTGAAATTCTCTAAGTAGGAAATTAATTTAATTATACTCCGTATCAATCAAACCATGAAACCAATAACTTGAAAAAGTTGGATGGGACCGGTGAATAATAATAAAAATAGTGTAATATGAATAATAATAATTCTATCTTTGACTTGCTCCTCGTGTTTTCTCTCTCTCACTCTATCCAAAAAGGCAAAAACGAAACGCTTAAATAAAGCAAATCCGCATTCTGCCTTCCTACTCGCCACTTCTTTTGCATGTTCTCTCACTCATTCACGTTTTCTCCCCTCTTTATATTCAAGCAATCCCCCACCGCACCACCACTTCCATCCTTTTCACTCTTCCATCCATGGCGGTTGAAGCCACGCATCTCAACCTCTTCCAATCCCAGCAACCATTCATGCCCAACAGGTATATATGCTATTCTATATTAATTCACTCTGCTGCTTATGCTTCTTCGAATTTCGATCACGAGTTTTCGGGTTTTTGATCTGACGCGATTTTCTGTTGGGATTTTGCAGAGAGTTTTTGCAGGGGAATCAGTTCGGATTCGATCATGGCGAGATGAGATCGGCGGTTATGCCCCTCAACCTCCCCGCCGCCGCATTGCCCGGCCGTGCGTATGCTCTCCACCCGTCTCTGCTCTCTGACTCTGTTCAGGCGAAAACCTCGATGAACGCCGATAGCTGTTTGACTTATAATCTCCAGCAACAGCTTCCAAAAAAGCGATCCAGAGATTCACTTCATCCTTCTCCGGCCGCCGTCCCTCAGAAGCCCAACCTCCATCAAATCCCATCTTTCTTCGGCGAAGACGACGTTCTCCCCATCGTTCAACAGTATCAGTTGGATATAGACAGCATCGTTTCTCACCATGTAATTCAATCCTTCCTTCTTCCCTTTTGATTTTCGTTTTCCATTTCCTGATTTTATTTTTGTTCTGATTTTTGCGTTTGATGCTATGCAGACGAAAAAGATAAAAATGGAATTCGAAGAGCGGCAGAAGCAACAAGGGAGGGTGCTGGTCGCATCGATTGGAGAAAAGGTGATGAAGAAACTGAAGGAGAAAGACGATCATATTCAGCGGATGATGAAATTGAATATGGCGCTCCAAGAGAAGCTCAAAAATCTCTACGTCGAGAACCAGCTATGGCGGGATCTGGCTCAGTCCAACGAAGCCACCGCCAATTCTCTCCGTTCCGACCTGGAACAGGTTTTGAATCACATCGGCGGCGAGCGCATCTCCGGCGGAGGTGCGGCGGAGGAAGAAGACGCCGGGTCATGTTGCGGAAGCTATAATCCACGGTTCGAGGAACCGGAAGTGGGCACTGGGCCGCCGGAGACCGAACGCGCCGGCGACAGGATGTGCCGGAAGTGCGGCGAAAGGGAATCCACTGTGTTGCTGTTGCCATGTCGCCATCTGTGCCTCTGCTCCGTTTGTGGGTCCACCACCATGCCCAGAAACTGCCCTATCTGCAACTCCTCCATGAATGCTACTGTGCATGTTAACCTGTAATTTTTTCACCGTTCGGTTGTAGAAATCAATAGAAGTAGCAGTTTTTTTTAACCCTTTTTTGGGTGTAGAAAGAAAAATACAAAAAAGAAAAAAATACTAGACGACCCATCAGTATAAATCGTTTTAACCAGAAAGTAGGAAAGGCAATTGTTCATTCTTTTTATGTACGTAGTACTCCCTATCTAATTTGTTGATCTTTTTCCTAATCTTCCTCGGCAAGCTTTTTTCTCGAACTTTATCAATTATAGAGTATTTGATTGAGTAAAAGAGGTACTCGTATTATTCAATTTGGGGACTTTTTTAAAGAAAGCCGTTGTCAAAAAATAATTCTAAAAAGTACCAGTAACTTATTTTATCTATTGATTATTTTAGATTTATGTACTTGGTACTCCGTATAATAATACTACTTTTTTGGTTCTTCCAAAAAATTTTGATATTACTATTTAAAGTAAGGAATATGCGGCTAAAACTAATTCTCTGATCTGCACAATTTCAACCACACTTTTTTACTTTTTTACTTTTGTAATGCTAGAGATTCCTTTTTAATCTGTACTATTGATTAATTAATATAATAATAATGAGCCTAAACTTAAGTTTTGGCTTAATCTGTTCAAACTTTCAAAGCATCTTTTGTTTTACCTAGAAGTTCTCACCATTTCTTTATAAGGGAAAAGTAAATTTCGGGTTTGCCTAGTCATCCATGTTAGGTTGCATGGATTGTTTTAGCAATATTCTCTATCGCAGGAAAAAGTTAATGATTAGGTTTACAATTTTCTTTTTATGCTCGTATACAAATCATGAATCAACCATATTTTACGCAGACATTTAAGAAATGAATTGCGTTACAGTGATTTGCTTTTTTCATACCTAATCTTCAAACTAAAGCTCGATCATAAATATCATTTTGAAAAGAAAAAAGCGTCAAAAACCAATGAGAAGCTAATTTGAGAATGGGTGGGAAGAAAAAGGGATAAATGATGAGATGGTCGTGGCTAAAGCACAGTCTATTGGGATTCGGCTATTGTCATCATGTCCCATTGTCAACAGATGAGAATTGTAGATGACCCAAGAAATGAATAATTGAGATCTCTATTTATACACAATAGATCAATTTAAATCATACTCCGTATAAGATAGAAAAATATTAAATATGACTAATTAAAAAAAAAAATAAAACGAACAAGTTCTTGGCGAAAGAATCACGTATTCACTTGAGTTTTTCTAAGAACATACTCCGTATAACCAAGTTAAATTATACAGTTCAATGACCTTTAATTTTAATCTTTTACTCTATTTGTTGATTTGTTCCGAAATAATCATTATTTTCTCTCTCTGTTTTTGAATAGGTTAAGCACTCATTGATTCTTGTTTTCGACATACTCCGTATCAATTTTATCATTTAATTTATCACCAAACACATTAATTTAAATGTCCTATATTGAATTGTTTCGTAATGAAAATAAGTAAGTTTGAAGTTAATAGATGAAGTTACTTTAGACCATTTTTAGCCTTTTTTTTTTAGCCAATTTAGCTGTTTCACCCAATTTTCAGATCAGATTTAGTGAATTAAGCCGCTTCAACAAGATTTCATCAATTTCATTATAATCAACCAATTCAGTCAATTTCAATGCTACTAAACATACTCCAAGTTATTTTTCTGAGCACTACCTATACTATTTTCCGTTTCAGTTCATACCGCGACTATTATTCATGACTAAACGCGTATTTTTTTGTAGTGCATACTAAAGGAAAACGGGTTTTTTTCGGCAATAGGAAAACGGGATTAGAAAATGAAAAAGGACACAATTTTTTATTAATCCAGATGTATGTCTGCAGTCAAACCAAGAATATGAAACGTAACGTATGATGTAATGTTCTAAATAAATTCTGATTTGTATAAAAAGAATTTTAATTGCCAAATATCACTATGAATCTTACCTTGTATTTACTTTTGATTGATTGGACATAAATTAAGGTATAGTACCGGTATACTAATGTTTCCAATTGGACGAATGATACTCCGTATTTTAGATCACACGGGATTAGATGTGACTAGATAGACAAGATGATAACAATCTTAAAAGAAGATACTAAAATAAATCATACTCCCTATTAGATTAGATTAAAAGACCCGGCTTAGATACATATAAAATACACATAATAGTACAAGACTAAACGAGTGATAAAACTTTAGAAAGTTAAAGCAATAAATGTGTTTTCATGGTTTTTTTGTTCTATGATCTAATCAAGTGTGAACTGCTCTCATCTTATCCGTTAAGGATTGATATTATATGTGTTTTATTAATGTCTAAGTCTAGTATGACGTGATCTATTATGATTTGAGTTAAATCGGGCCGTGTCTGATCTTACCTATATAAGTCTAGTCAAATCTTAATTGACCTGCTCGGTTATAGTGTAGGCCGTAACCTAAACCTGTTCAAGTGAAAACATCTAAAAAAAATTGTTGCACATATGTACATGAGGGCTAAATGGTAGACTTGTCTTGGAAAGGGTGGGTTAGTGTGGTAGACGATGGCATGGTGTGCGTTATTCTTGGATTTGAATGCTGGGAAGCGTTAAAGGTTTGGGTATTGGTGCCTGAGTGTGGCGTGGGGTTGTGAACGTCAAATTTTGCTTTAACTTTCAACATACTTTCCTTTCACTTTATTACTCCTTACTTATTTTTAATGATGCATATTGGGGGAATTGATTAGCCTCCCAAGACAAGTTTGGGTGCATGCCCAACTTTTGCAAAGAATCCAACTTTAGGGACTGTAGAGATATAAGTGACCCATCCATTTGGTGAGGTGGTGGTGGCCCTCTGGAATTAGGTACCTGAGGCACATTGTCCTTGATGGCCTGCCTCCATAATGTCATGACTCTCTCTGTCTTGATCATTATTCATTCAGAAATAGAGAGAGAGGGAGATGGGATTGGCAATTGGTTGGGTTGGACAGCCATGGTTTTGGGGTGAATTCCCATGGTGGTCCTCCTGGCTTTAAGGATCATCAAATGAATTGCTCATATCAAAGTCCTCACTTATTGCATGATTTATATGACAAGATTGGGACAACGCACAGAATTGATCATGCCCTAATAACGTTGCGCCATTCTCATATTTTAAGGCATTACAGCTTGTTCGGTTACCGAAAGTGGGTGTGGGGAAACCAATACTTCTAGCTGTTGTTAGGCCTGAATCACAGCTATAAACAACTCTTATTTATTCATTCCTTTCCCCTTAAATCAAAGAGATACTTTCTTTTTTAGAAAAAAATGGCACCCAATTTACTACTCCACTTTCCAATTCTAAACCAATAACGCTCAGAGCAGCCTAAAAGTGGTCTTTTCCCTAGCGTTCGCCTAGGGTTTGTCTTTCCGGTAGGTGGTTTGCGCCGCTTATTGTTCGGCTAATGATTTGGAGCGATAGTGGGAGGAAAACGCTCTCCCTCTCCATGATCTGCTTCTCTATGGTTGATGTTTCTAGATGTGTTGCTATGGATCGAATCTGGAGGTCTGTAATTGATACCTTCGATTGAAAAACCGCTTGACAAATTTTGAATCGAGTTCTAAGCAAGGAGGAAGACAGATCGACGGTCGTCCCCAACCTGAACCGCCGCCCTGGAGCGACCGAGGTGCAAGGTTTTGGAAGATGATACTTGAAGAATATTGGCACGAAGAAGCTTGAAGTATTTGTCAATTATTTTATTTTTTATGGTCTTACTTTCACGTTGAGTTTGTTTATGTTGCTATGTTTTTTCTTGATGTCTTTAGTTTTACCTCTAAAATAAGGATTGAAAATTCTGCTAGTTATTATTGTTGGGTGTGTCTCGGAAAACAAAGAAAAATAATCAATTAAAATGACTAAAGAAAAACAGAATTAAGGAGCGGAAATCAGCCAAAGCTCGTGTTACGCACGATGCCCTTAAATCATATTTGTTGCCTCCCACGGTGCTAGAAGCATTGCAACGACCGTTTTCCAGGATATGGTGGCTATCGAACGATCGTTTAAGCACACAAACGAAAGTTCTGGCGAACATAAACACAACAAGAACACTCAGGAAATTTTTAGAAAGCTGGAGGTGTTTTTGAGGTCAAAAATACGTGAAAATGTGTATTAATGTGTGTTGTTGCAAAGCACCTGCCAGCTATATATAGGGGTGAATTCGTGGTGCGTCAATTGAACTTTAATGGAACAAAACGTAGGATATAAATGCCTAGAACATTGGGCATTAATATGTCAACAAACTGTCCATTTAGAGAAGCATTAAAGGAGAAGAACGTTGGACATTTGAAGGTTGTAACGCTTCAGAGCAGTTCTGGTGCGACTATGCCAGAAGAGCCCTTATGATGCGAACAGAAGTGGAGCAGTTCTTGGTCGAACAGAACCCCTTTTTAGTCCGGACAGAAGCGGAAACAGAACTCAAGCGATTCTGTCAGTCTGAAAAAAACTAGTAATGTTATGGGAAGAAACAAAAATTAAATTATATTTTTGAAAGATAAGTTTTCAGATGACATTCGTGTCTAAATGGCGCCCACGCACGTAAGTCGCGGTTTTTCATCTCCGTTTTCGGGAATTGATTCGCACCCCTCCTACGCGCGAAGAGAGCCTTTCCACTCAGGAATCTTAACTCCTTCAAAGAGGGTTCCTTTTATAAGGGATTCAAACTCCCTTGGGTTTTTCGGTATGGGAAATATTACACTAGAAACCATTCATTTTCCTATTTTCTCCATTTCAACGAGTGAACTTCGAGAATCAATTTCTCATTCACCCGTTATCCGTTTTGAGCGTACCACATATCCAATTGTAACCCTTAGTAAGTAAAATCAAAACCACTTTGACCCGACCCAAATAAGAAGTGGACTCCATTCGAAATATTGCCCAAAATTGACCACTTAATGCAAGTTTTAACACATTGTCCACCAATTATGTCGTTAGAAGGATCTGCATGGTCAGTGATTGTTGTGTCACTCCTGTTTGGTGGTTAGCGATTCGTATTGCTCTTTCAGGAGTTACCGTTTCTAAGTCTAGCTGTATGATTGATAATGCTAATTGGTTATGAATAGTTGTTGTTAGTGTTGGTCCATTTGATTGTGTTATCACGTTTAGAATCTTAAAGATATTAATATGCGTGGTTTTTCCTTTCCAAAAAAAATCTAAAAAATGACATCTTTTAGCGCTTATTATTTTAATAATATTTGTAATAATGAAAATCAAATAATGTTTCAATACACTCCCCACCAACTCACCCACCGCCACCACCATCACTATCGCCTCCGTAGAGATAAGGACTTCCATAAAATACAAGGAATCAAGTTACCATCGTTAGTGACTTTATTAAGGTTGCAAATCAGTTAGTGGCTCCGTGCAAATCGACTCCGCTAGTGTACTGCTATGCATCGCCAGTGCTTTGAAAGCCAAAAATTCATTAGTAACTCTGCTCAAATCTAACCAAATTGCAATATTCTTAACAACGTCATATTTGGGTGAGTGGCGAGCTTTAATGACTTCATGAGCAGATACAAAGTACTCACAAGGCGAGTGAAAACTATCAGTGACATCGTGGGAACTATCG